CCCCCCCCCACTATGAAACAACGTTCACGCACACTCTAGGATCCAAAGTACGGAAATCAACTTATCAACCATCGTGTAATATTCTTCCGATGGCGGCGGTCGGGGTCTGTCTCAACTCTGCCACTATAGTTGAGGCCGTTGTTTCCACGCCGCTCTCCGCCTCTTGAAGGACGATCTCTCTGTAGCGACAGGCGGACGTCTTCATGCCCTCAGAGAGCGCCAGCCGGACCGCGTTGTCCATCGCGCCCGCCTCTATGGGGGCGACGGTGGTGGTGGTTGTCGTCGTAATACTCCCCATCGCGTGTCCCGCAGATCGATCCAAATAATGTTCTCGGGTCGTCGGCTGCTTTTGTGGTGGTCGTGTCCCCAGGACTCTCACGCCTACGCCCATGTGCTCGACCTAAGAGGTTGCAGTTTTCGAAGGAATCAACAGCGGCACCCACAAGAACTCGGCATTGACATGACGGGAGTCACATTGTTAAAAATGGAAGACAAAAGCGCACTCATGATTCCCGACTCAGGATTCTCCCGAAAATATTGCGCGTACACCTGTGGATTGTGGGTGTTGGAAGCCCACAAGGGGATTCCGCACCCAGAGCCTAGGGCAACGTTTCGAGTAGTGACGCCCTGCATCTGTAGGCTTTGAGGTTTTTTCGTGTACACGAGAGGGGGGAAGACTGTGGATTGTGCCGTAGCTCAGCGGGGCCAGCGGTGACGGCCACGCATAGTCGTCGCCCGCAGACAAGAACAAAAACTGGTTCATCATACGTGAACACATGGAGCAGACGAATTTGAGGTACCATCGTACAGATCAGGCACTCTGGCCCTCGAAGTTTTCTGTACGCTGACGTGCCTCCCATTGCATGGTACGGATTTGCTCAAAGTAACGCAAACGAGCGTGTTCACTCTGACAAGGAGCAACACATAGTCTAGATGCACCAGAGCAATCAAAGATGTGTGGGCGCGACCGATCATGTATACACCAACTACAACCTATCACCGGAGATACGCATACATTTGTCTCGCAAACCCTGGCCACTCCTGTGTTGACGACAATGATCATTTTTTAGCGACCGAGTCTTGCGGCCAACTGCCCCAAGACGCCCAGTGAGGGCCTATCGACTGTCCCCGACTCTCCAAGCTTTCCTGTGAGGGAGCAAGCGATGTTCTTCGGGAACTTAGGACTTGTGCGGCTTCACTAGCAGCGAGCGCAGCCAACCGTGGGGCCCAAACCACGTCATGCGCTTTTGAAAAGACGAAATCGCCCTAAGGAATCCAAACAATATCAAGACGCCGCTTGCTCCGCTCCCTCACCGCCTTTTGTTCATTTTTGGAATGCCCGGGAAACTCCTGTGCATGCACAACGGGCATAGCAATAATCTTTTCTCTTTGGGATCCCACGTTCCGTACTCTCTGTCGTGTGACGCTTTGAATAACCCTCCCGTGACGTCTCTATTGGCACTGTCTTGCTTTCGACGGTCCGGGTCTCGTGATCGTTTTTAGCACAAGGCAAACCAACAAGGTGCGGGATCTACGTTTGGGAGTTTGTGCGACGTCTGCTTTAAAACGGGGCAATTAAAACAGTCGGTGAATCACTCCTTTCGGGAGTTTTTGTGGGTCTCGCTCAAACAGAGACCAATTGAAAAGTACATGGCCTTTTGCATGGCACCACGATGTGTGTTCTGTGACATGCCTGACTCACCTGATCGGCGAAGAAGAACTGGTCCCACGCCAGCGGGATGACCACTTGGACGGCACCAGCACTGAAACGTTACAAGTTGCGTTGTATCCGAAAATGAAGACCGTGGCAGCATATTGATGGTGATCATCATGGCGATGAGGCGGACGATAAAGATTGATTGATTCGCAAAAACAAATGGTGGTGTCGGATTAAATACGATTCGGGTGGTTGCAGCATGACGATGGTGGTCGCCGGGTGACGATGATTGCGGAATAATGACCGGTTCCGTGAACGGGATGGCGATGATGATGCGAGATATTTTGCACCCAACATGTGACGATGAGGAGGAAATGACGGGGAACGCACGAAAAAAGGAAAGAGAAGACGGTCAAACGGGGGAAAGAACAGTGTGTGTGTGGCAAAGGGAAACAACATGGAACGTCACACGCGCGAGAGATTTTTTGAGAATCTCAGGCTTTCACGAAAAAAGAGCCGCCCGCCACCACGACCGCACGCATGATAATGTTTCACTTTCAAAACATTGTGACTTCCCCACGATTGCTCCATGAAAATACAACTCGATTTTCGACCGCACCAATGGCCGCTGTCGTTTCGTAGAACTTTATGTTTGCACGTCAACAAAAAAGCATGACAGACAGCCCCCGCCACCAGACCGCTCAGTCCGCGCAGGGGGGCAACACGATAACATAACCGCATGCACGAATATGGAGAAAATCACCTCAGACAGGCCCCACATGCACGTGATACAGATAATCACCTCAGACAGGCTCCTGTGGTCCCGCTGCCTCCATGATGCACGACTCCTCGACACCGCGGTAGCAGCCACGTGTGCGGCACGAACGACTGCTCCCCCGCGAGGTCAAGGAGATACGGTGCCGCCGCCACAGCCGCCACCGTCGCCGCCGTCTCCGTCTCTGCATTCTCCAATACTTCCCCCATGATGAAGGCCAGAAAATATAATTTTCGTGATGCGAAACAACGCGCGGAAAATTGCCCGGAAGGAAAAGAAACTTTTGCGTGGGGAAACTTTTGCGTGGGGAAACTTTTCACTGCAGCTACCTGCTAGCAGGTGATTGCGAAAACTGCAGTGACAAGGCGAAAACGACTCAAAGGAGGGGACCAACCTTTCCAGAGGAAAACGCGTCGGCTACCTTCTTGCGTTCATCCCGGAGACGAGTGATGTATCTCCAAAACAAACGACCCTGACTAAAATTATTCAAGTCGACGATGAATTTCCAACTTTGGCAGGGGACAAAGAACGTGGAAATTCGAAGTACGCATAGCCTATATACAAAGAGGTATAGCCGGTCGCCCCGGTGGTCTAGTGGGTAACCTCGCAGCATGCTAAGGGCCAGGTCATGGGTTCGAGTCCCGGCAGAGTGAGTTTTTTTCTCACTAAATGAATCCTGGTCTAGGATGAAAGCGACGCGCTGCAAAGCTCGTTGTTAGTAAACCATAATCGACTTCGCAAGTCGCGAGGGAAGGGCTTGCTGTACCCTTCTCGCGATAAAAATACCCCAGGCAGGAACCGCAGGAGGGGGTCCAGCCCCCCCCTTCTATGTGACCCCGGTTGGGTCGTCTAGCTAGAAGAAGTGGAGGATAGGGGCCAGAGGGGCAGACAATAGAGTCCAATGATGGGAGAAAAAAAAAAAAAAGGGCTGCGTGAGGTCGTCTTGAGTTGTTGGTCAAACATATCCCCACTGCTGTTGGGTGTGGGATGCACTCTGCGCTCAATTTTCCTTTGGATGATGTGCATACCCAAAACCGATATGATGGATACACCGGCAACCTTTCAAGCAGGAGAGCGAGTCGACACGTCTTTTTTCTCCTTCCGGGAATACTGCTTTTTGTGCGCCCTCGAATTGTGTGCTCTTCCGCCCTGTTCTCTCCGTCCATGCGCATACGCACACGCATATAGTTTGAGGATACCATTATATCGGAGCTGGGTTCAAAACCGTAAATGGGAGCAGTGAGTAAGTACCTCGAATCGTACCCCCCCCCCCCCCCCCCCCCCCCCCCCCCCCCCCCCCCCCCCCCCCCCCC